ATAGTGTCGTTCATTTCATTTAAATAGTTGTGCAAGACGCAGCACATTACTCGCTACATTAACGATGCATTATATATCTGCGAATCATTGCATCGTCCAGGAGCTCCAATGTTCACATATAAAAACCGATATCTGAACATATATAGAAATAATTAATACATGCTTTTTAGAAAAAAACAACAGAATGAAAGTTAAATAACCTATAATCCACTACAGCTAGTAGAACAATAGAATACCATCCTTTATAGTTGTGGTAGTCGGTTGCATCGGCTGGATTCGGCCTAACTTCGATGTGGACCCATCTGAATATATACATATGTATGTACGTATATCTTTGTTTTTATATAAATTAGTTGCAGTTTTAACTTTCTTACCAATTGCTCCAAGGCATTGGGGAAAGCCGAGACGGTCAAAACCATCAACACAGTCTTTTAAAGTTTGTGGAGTCGGTGGTAATTTCTTTATATATTGCGCTGACAAAGCTTGCCAGACTTCCTCGCAAAACTCCCACAAGACTGTGCACACGGTCGATATTCCAACACCAAATAGTTCGGAAACCACTCGTACTCTCCAGACGATCCCAGCGTAAATAGAGCTATCGCAACGCGTTTTTGCAATGGAATCGCGTTGCGCCAGTTTGTGTCGGCTTTGTGCAGGTTTTTGAGGAAACCACAGAGTGTTTCGAAACTAGTGCGGTTCATGCGGAAGTGCGTCTTAAAGAAATGGTCATCGTTGCAATTGCAATTGACTTCCCAGAAAGAAGACTGCCGATTCTGTAATAGAGGAAGTACCATTTATAAAAGGACAAGAACTGATTACTTATAATTTGATTTACCAATTTCCAGAGGGATCTCTGAGTAGCTTTTCTCTGCAGTAACCCGTAAAGCAATAGCTGCTGTCTTCGCAAATGTTGCAAAATGATGAAGTTTTTTTCTTTTCTCTTTTTATATAAGGCCATTGAACTTGCGTAGCTAGTCAGCACTGACTGCAAAACTTGTATATTTGCAGTATACGCAAGAAAAAGTTCGCTTAAACTTTTATTGTTTTCCATTTTACCAATTTATTGTAAATAAACAAAAATTCTTTTAAGACACCTGACAGCCACTCGTTAATCGAGCAGCTGATTGTGTGTGAAACACAAAAATCGAATACTTAATTAAAAACTTAATTGACTCAATTAATTTTCTGTCTGAAAACAGTATTAGACTCAGCTATTAGTGAGTTTGATTGGCAAGTTCTGTTTTGCGATAACGAAGTAGCAGGTTGTTTGACATCTTCAATTCTAATATTGCTAAGCTGTGAACTGGAGGTAAGGGATAATCCGAAAATTTTTTGGCGCTACAATAATTCCAAAAGAAAATCCTCAAGCATACCCAAAACAGTTTTTTATAAGGAATTCACAGCTACGTCAGTGAAACATGCGGCCGACTCGTTTGCTGATTTTTTGAAGTGAAACTTTTTAGGCGGCGGAATCGCAAAAATGGAGAGTGAAATTTTTAAAACTGAAAACGTTACATGATTGAGAAAGAAGATATAGGTAGTATAGGGAAGGGGAAAAAAGAAATCAAGCGACGCATGGCGGGTACGAGTACCTACATATGTATATATGTATGTTTGAATGCACGTATGTATATACATCCATATATCCCTCGCTAGGGCAGGCACCTTGTCGTTGGTGCGGGGGCTTAGCTGAATCATCAATCGGGACGCATCAGGAGGTGTCAGCACGCACGCATCAGCACCTCTCGGGTATGGTACGGGCGCGCTGCACTGCCCTGGTGCGACCCGCTGATGGACAGTGACCAAGAACTGCCACCCCCCCCTAATCCAGGGTGTAATGCGACANATATATGTGACCTGGTCTACGAAAAGGGAGCTTACGTGCGAAAACTAGTTTTCTGTGAAAAAGCTGTTAAAAGTAAGCAACTCGTTTCGTCAGTTTCTCATTATCTCGTTAATTGTTCTCCGCGCCGGACGTCCAGTAAGTGTTGTTGTTGGTCCAGTAAGTGTTGTTGTTGGTCGGAATATTATTATAGTTCATCGTGTAAGTTGCTAGTGTGGAACATTTAAAAAAGTAACACTGAAGAAGTGACGTTTACTGTTTCTATATAAATGATATCAGTGGCAATATTTGTGTGGGCTTTTTATTTCTTGATATAAGCATCTGTGAGATAGCTACTAAAACGTATTTTTGCCGGATTTAATCACTTAAAAAATTTAGAAAATAGGCTATTTTACATCCAATTACATAATAACAAATATTTTAACCGAAAACAGTTAAATATTTGCTTTTATATTAAAATATCAATAATGTTGCCGCCACGAAGTTTTCATGCAAATGAACATGTAGCTGTCAAACTACCGAATTGCCGGCAATAGATGGCAAGATATAAGCTCTGATATATATTGCTCTTGAAGAGCAATGATCGGTCTCCATGAACCAAAAATACAAGATCACGTAAGAACGCGACATTGTATTTGTAACTGGTTTTGAGAAAAAAGTTTGCGAAAGCGGGTTCGTCAGCTGAGCGTTTGTTTACATCAGAAGCACCACTATTTTACACGTTTATTTAAGTAAAGAAGAGTTAATTCAACAGGACAACACATTTTCAAGCATTTTATTGCATCATTTTACCTAAATTGTGCGTTTAAAGTGGCTGACAATAATTTTGGCTAATTTTGGCTTTCGTTGTTTTCTTTGCTTAGTTTACTTTTCGCTCGTTTTCCAGTGAATCAAGATGGCATAGAACCCGCTAAAAAAATCGACTTTTTTCACTCCTTTGTTCTTGCGTGATCTTGTGTCTTTCGTTCATGAGCGGTCTCTATCGGCTATTTATATTCTAATGGCCTGTTTTTGCTTATGCGTAAAAGCACATTTAGAGCATTTAGCTCTAAATGCTACTCTAAATGTACATTTATCCATACAAAATTCGTCACCTAAATGCAACTCCATTTTTGCTTTAAGAATCTAAATGCTAAAAGCAACCCTGTGATCTTCCAAAATTTCCAGATTCGAACATGGTTTAAAGAGAAAAAGTGGCAACATTGCTTTTTCGAGTATACAGTTGCTAGCTGCGTTTCAGTGATCGTCGATCGAGATTTCTTTTATTTTACATTACATATTTGGATAAAGAAAAGTTAAGCAAATTCAACATCGATGTGATGCTGATAGAAATCAGGATCAATTTATGATCAACTCTGTTTGTTTTGTTTCCTAATTAAGTGAGGAAATTTTAATTGACAGCACCGACAAATGAATATATACACAAACAAATGCTCGGTTATGGTTAAAACAATTCAAGTTTTTGTATTGAATTTTTGGTTTAAAATTTATTTTTTCCTTTTCAGTTGGGTTTTTGCACATTATCTTCTGCGTGAGAATTGATCGTAATATACACGGATCTGAATAAGAGACTGGAACACGGCTGTTTGTCAAAAGCATATGATTTCGAACTCGCGTAAATAGGTTCATTCCTTATCTTTTTGGACTAAAATCTGAAAAGTGTCAAAATGCCAGAGCGTAAGCAAAATGCGCTCACTAAAAGAGAGTAACAGGAAAAGTAAAGGAACGCAAAAAACCAAATTTTTAGTCCAAAGAATGGCAACAACAAAACTAACGTCAAATAAGAACAGAAATGTATGTACAAAACACATTCACACAAGCACAAGCTCAATAAACACTTGCTATATCAATTATTTTTTGCCTCCTTCCAATTTCAATTCATTTCTTTTACTTTTTAATTATTCTCACTTTTTGCGTATTCTTTAATTTCCGTTAATTTAAATTCAGTTGAGTTTGACACTTTTCAGGATTTTGTCAGAAAAAATTCTTCTGACTAAATCTGACTACTTCGGACTGATGAGAGTCGCTCTCACTGACTGTTGCTCTCTCATTTTTGCTGTCATTTCCGAGTTAAGGAACGCTTTTTGGACTAAATCTGACTACTTCGGACTTTTTCTGACTATTTCTGGGAGATAAGGAACGCGCATAATGTACATTTGCTAAATGCTATAGCAATAACGCTCTTCGAAAACATATGTTCGAAAGTGCTAAATGTTGCATTTTAAATGCAGCAAAAACGCTGTATAAGGCCCTGTCTCCACAGGAAAACACTGATGTAGTGAAAACTATGTCACAAAATATATTTCCAATGGAGACCGCCTATTTCTCATGTGCTGCAATATATGTCAGCGCTTATTGCTTGACATCTATTGCAGGCAATTCGATAGTTTGACAGCCATATTTTCATTTGAAAGAAAGCGTGCTGGTGGTAACATCGATGAAATTTTTATATTAAATCAAAATAATAGTCTGTTCCTGTTTTTTAAAGATTTAAATGTTTTTAAACACCGAATTTGAGAGAATGTTGTCTGGTGGCGTCATGCGGCAAATGCTTATTTCAAGACATCAAAGTGCCCACACACAAAAACTTGCAATCACATTGCTCGTCAAAATGACAGTTGGTAGGCCATCGGTGTTTGCCTGTGTAGTTTTGCGGTACCATATGTATCAAGATATAAACTTTATCCTGTGGAGACGGGCAGTTATGTATACGTGGATATGTAAGCAAAGGAAAAGAGGCGATAATTTGACGTAACCGTGCTCATAAGAAGAAGCATGGCTTCATAGAGGGCTTTCGAACGAGGCGTTTTTTCAGGCAACTTTTGCGTTCAACTCACGCAGGGTTGCCCGAAAAAAAAATTGAATGGCTAAAAGTTTCAAAATATATTAAAAAAAATATCAAAATATTCGCAATAAAAAGGCGTTTGCATTGTTCATCTTTGCATTCTACTTTGGTTGAACGGCCTTTCAACTAATCGCTTTCAACAATCGCCAGCCAACATTTAGCCATTCAACTTTTTTCGTGCAACCTTGCGTGATTTGATAGCATATGTTGAACGCAAAACGGTGCGTACGTACATCTTTATAGATGCAACTCTGTTCCAGCGCCATCTACAGCGCTTCTAAAAACTTCTAGAACAAAAAATTCCCTGGGGAAATTTTCATAACCTACGATAATCAAAGGAGAAGGTGGAAATTAGCGATCCATGAAAACACGCGAAAGAATAGGAATATCGTGGTAACTTCAATCTTTGGAAAAGAACACGTCCACTTTCGAAGTGATAAATCATTTGTATAAAAAAGGTACATATTCAAACGATTATATCAGGGCATTGGAAACGAAATGGATATTATTAGAATCGAAAAATTGTGAAAACGTGAAAGAAATTGTCACAACTGGACAATCTAATGAATATACATACATACGAGTGTGTAAATGAGCTAAGTGAAAAATATATGCACGAATAAACGAATTACAAATTAATAAAAGTACGCTGTATATTTCCTTTAAGTGGAAATTAAGCATTAACAGTGGAAGATGTATTTGATTGCATTGGGGAATATCTTTGAAAAGTGATTGGTACGAATACAGCTATGGTAAAAATTATTTTGAATGGGGTCGAGTTGGTCCGGTGATATTTTTACAACCCACATGTTCGGGTTGGGGCGATACTTAAATAAAGCATAGTATGTAGATTAAAAATTTGGTCGAAAGTTGATTCGAAACTTCTGGAAGAAGTCGTAAATCAATCACTTTTCTGGAATTTCCTCGATGACGATTGACTCGTCGTTTTGGTTGATCGATCGAAAATTTCCTAGTGTTTCTATAGTGGTCTTTCTTTTATTGTCAAAAAATTGTAGAATTTGTGACTCATTGTGCGGAAAGGAAAACTACCGCCAGCAATATTAAGAAAATCAAAGAACAGCAATTGGAATAATCACCGGTACTGATTGGTTGCCCACTCTAGAGTTAAAGTCATCAACAAGACTTCTGCAGCTTCAGTTAAAAATAAGACCGTGGGAAAATGTCTGTGATTGGAATCGATTTTGGCAATGAGGGATGCTATGTTGCTGCTGCCAAGGCTGGGGGAATTGAAACTCTTGCTAATGATTACAGTTTGCGCGCAACCCCGTAAGTAAACTTATTTGTGTGATTTTTTAATTTTGTAATGTTTCAAAAAAATTTGCATGTTGTCGAAGTGATTAATTTTGAGGTTAGGTTGGTTTTTCTTATCTTTATTACACACGCCCTACACAGGCGAACAGCGATGGCCTACCAACTGTCATTTTGACGAGCAATGTGATTGCAAGTTTTTGTGTGTGGGTACTTTGATGTCTTGAAATAAGCATTTGCCGCATGACGCCACCAGACAACATTCTCTCAATTTCGGTGTTTAAAAACATTTAAATCTTTAAAAAACTTGCTGAATAATTTCCTAAAACGTAATCATAAATAATCCAATAAGGAACAGACTTTTATTTTGATTTAATATAAAAATTTCATCGATGTTACCACCAGCACGCTTTCTTACAAATGAAAATATGGCTGTCAAACTATCGAATTGCCTGCAATAGATGTCAAGCAATAAGCGCTGACATATATTGCAGCACATGAGAAATAGGCGGTCTCCATTGGAAATATATTTTGTGACATAGTTATCACGACATCAGTGTTTTCCTGTGGAGACAGGGCCTTAGGTTCTCTCCCTAACAATTCGGAACGGATCCGGTAATTAGAGAATAAGCGAAAAGTTTGCTCTCAAAAATGGAACATAATCCAGAAGTACGAGAAAACAGCTAGTGATGTGCTGAATTTTCGGTACCTAATACTTAAAAAAGATTTCGGTACCAATACTTCCTTTTCGGTACCCGATACCGATTCTTTACATTAAACCTTCGCCATCAAGAATGATAGAATACAAGATTGCGCCGATCAGAGAGGATTTTTGAGAATAACATTTGTGTGACGTCACCCTGGTGCAATTGCGAGAGAGATATGCCAAAACGTGAGCAAGAATGGAAGAAGAAAAAATGTTGCAAGGAAAACGTAAACAAGTTGCACAAGTTTGACCTCATGCAAACAACGATTCTGTCAAATTCGTTAAGAGAGGAATAGCGGTCCGAGATCGGCGCAACCTTTGTATTCTCTCAATCGTGCTTCGCCATTATATGCTAAAACACTTGAACTTATCGCAACAGGGAAATATTATTGGTAATTCTCTAGTATAGGGTAACAACCTCTAATAAAGGTCCGGAAGAGTCGGGAGGGGTACCAACGATGTCAATCAAAATCATCCTTGTGTAAAAGTCCTTTTGCAACTAACCTTGCTTTATGTCGTACAGGATTTCCATCAGCATCCTCTTTTTACACGGAAAACCCATTTTGATTTTAGTAGCTTTACATTCGGCGGACGTTAGCTAACTCCCAAACCTTATTTTCTTTCATCGAACAAAGTTCTTCATTGATGGCTTTTGTCCATAATAACTTATCCGACCTTTTATTAAGATCTGTATATGTTACTGGCTCACATGGTTCATCCAAGATAACTGAGTATCCAGAAATATACTGCATAAGTCAGTGCTTAATCCTTTCACTACGTCGCGGTCGTAAATTACTTTCTTGGACATCAAGATCACCTGCCTCACCTCCAATAAATAAATCACTTACATCTGAATTTCCTCCCCTTCGGAACTATCGCCATCATGTTCGTTATTTGCATTATAATCACAGGAACTAGCACGACTTTCTTCTTTCTCCGCCTCTAGCTGGTGCGTAACATCTATTACCAAATAGTTGTTGTTTTCATTTGAAGATTGACTACGAAGTTTATACGGATATATAAATTCGTTGAAACGGACTTCTCTTGCAATAAAAATATTTTGTTTGCTATCAGTCCAAAGCCTATACCCATTTGGAGCATACCCTATCATAACAAGCTCAGTTGTTTTGGCGTCCAATTCCTTTCGATTTTGTTGAGGAACCTATGAAAAAAGGTTTTAAGTTTAGATATATCAGGGCTTTTGATTATACCATAATTCAGCGGGCGTTCCCACGACAGTCGGGTCTACGTAACCGGAACGACCCAGATTTATATCTGGCCAAGGACTGTCACTGCAGCAACACTCCCCAAAAAGTCTTTGGGGAATTTGTATGCTGCTGCAACAACAACAGCAACATTAAATTAAAACTTCGGCATGGACTTCTGTTAAGAATATAAGTTGCAGTAAGAGCTGCTTCACCCCAAAAAGACCCTGGAGTACCACTTTCAAGAAGCATAGATCTTACTTTTTCCACAAACGTTCTGTTGAACCGTTCAGCAATCCCATTCGGCTTTGGAGAATATGCCGCTGTGCATTGAATTTGAATTCCTTTTTGTTTGAAGAAACACATCTCTTTCTTAGACATATAGTCTATAGTTAACATTGCAATAGGTAGGTTATGCATTGATGAGACTACAGCTTATCGTAAACTTCATACTTCTTTTTATTAAATATATAAACGCGAAATGACTAAAATCATCAATGAAGCTTACAAAGTATTTGAATTCATCCCAAGTCAAAGGATCAAAGGGACCGCAAACATCTGAATGAATCCTTTCTAGCAATCGTGATGATGTTGGACGATTTCCATTAAATAGAGTTCGGCACTGCTTCCCTTGAATACATACATTACAAAAACCAACTGGTTTGTATTGTTCCCAGCCGCGAACCATTTCATTTCGAACGAGATCTTGAACTGAATTGTCACTTGCATGACCCATCCTCTTATGCCACAAACTGCTTTCATCAGTTTTACTCAAGTTGGACATCTTCATAAAATCCAATTTTAATTCGTAAAGACTTCCATTCTTAAACGCTTTCATATAAGTATTATTTTTCTTTTTGAAAAACGCTACCACACCAGAAAATGTTATTGGGCCGTATGAATAAAAAATAAGCAATTGCTTTTTCTTTGTAATATTATGTATTGTGGCACGATTTTCCGTCATCTCTTGTCAAATTTGGTTTGGAGACAAACCGGTTTCGGCGTTGAGCCATCTTCAGTGTCATTTTTCGTTCTGCAGAACAAGAGGTTATGGGCGATAGCAAAAAGGGAAGCGATTCGTCCCATGGAATTTTGGAATTTCATGGAGAAAATTTTGAAAACTGGAGTTTTCGCGTGCAGCTTCATTTAGATGCACTGGATCTCCTTGATGTAATAAAAGGGACTCCTCCTGCGGAGCAGAACTTAATCGAGCAGTTCCGCAAGAAGGATAAGAAGGCCAAATCAGTTTTGGTCGATTGCTGATGAATACCTGGAGTACGTGCGAGAGAAGAAGACTTCCAAGGAGATGTGGGCACATGTGTCAAGTAGCACTTCAGTTTTCGAAATTGAAAAAGTTAACTACGGCATTAATTGTAGTGTGTTTGTTGTAAATTTGTTGTGGAAAGAAAAAATTTTTAGCTCTCGTTTTTTAAGAAAAAATGGTATGTATTGCTAACTTGACGCCATACACCTAGTCGATAGAATTGAGATATCCAATATGTTACTACGCCATTAAATGTAGCTTTTAACTTTAAAATTTCTTGTGAAAAGAAAAAATTTATAGCTTTCGTTTTTATGAAAAAAATTTAGTTGACCCTTTTTCGAACCAAATTTAGTATGTAGTGCTAACTTGACACCATACACCCAGTCGATTGAATTAAGATATCCAATATGTTACTAGGCTATTAATTGTAGCTTTTGACTTTAAATTTGTTGTGAAAAGAAAAAAATTGTAGCTTTCGTTTTTCTTGAAAAAATTGAGTTGACCCTTTTTCGAACCAAATTTAGTATGTAGTGCTAACTTGACACCATACACCCAGTCGATTGAATTAAGATATCCAATATGTTACTAGGCTATTAATTGTAGCTTTTGACTTTAAATTTGTTGTGAAAAGAAAAAAATTGTAGCTTTCGTTTTTCTTGAAAAAATTGAGTTGACCCTTTTTCGAACAAAATTTAGTATGTAGTGCTAACTTGACACCATGCACCATTGACGACTGAATTGAGATATTGAAAATGTTATAACGGCATTAATTGTAGCTTTTAACTTTAAAATTTGTTGTGGAAAGAAAAAATTTGTAGCTCTCGTTTTTTAAGAAAAAATGGTATGTAGTGCTAACTTGGCACCATACACCTAGTCGGTAGAATTGAGATATTGAAAATGTTTTTTTATTTTATTTTTTATTTATTAGAAGAAAAGAAGCGCAAAATGCCTTCTTTACTGAAAAAGGAGCACTAGTAAGAACACCTTCGGCTCGCTTTTTTATTTAGGATACAGTTTTTGCTTAGATTAACTAAAGGCTTATAGATAATTAACTCTAGATTAATTTCTTAAGATCTGTTAACCTAAGGAATTCATTTATTTTGTCTATAGATACAGCGTCATGATTTCTTAATAAACTAGAAGGGTTTGTATTTTCAAATAGGCTTNGTTTATTTTGTCTATAGATACAGCGTCATGATTTCTTAATAAACTAGAAGAGTTTGTATTTTCAAATAGGCTTGCTCTGGTTACTGCGAAATGTTGACAT